CCATGGTCCGAGTCTGTGGGGTGTCCTGCTGATCATGTGTGCTGAGCTCAAAAGACTGAACTGGGAAAAGATGGCAGGAGTGCCCACCTGGTCTCAACTGAGCCATAATAGCCCTGTTCCTCAGGGGTATAGTCTTGCTCGGTGGCATCATAAACTATGCAGCCAGAAATTAGGCACCCAATAAACTCTACTTTCTAAAAATGTTATTATTATCCTGTATAAATTAAAATACACCCATCCTCTGCCCATCATGCAGCATGACATGGCCAAACTGACGAAGACTTAGCATCTGAATCCTTTGCTGGTGAAGTCTTGAGAAACTCAGCATGAGGTCTCTGCAAAGGTTGCACCATGGGAAGGTGTGGGGCTGGGTCAGACCAGGTGAGAAGGTCATCAGACCTGTGCACACTGGAGTCCTCCTATTTGTTTACTTCCATAATGGATCATCTCTTTCACAAATATTTTAACCAATATGCACGCACAGAAATTCTGCCTTTATTCAGTCCTGGGGATTCTTGAATAAAGGAAGCTAAGACATTAAACTAAGACATTTTCTGATAGTTAGAAAATCTGAAGAGTCTTTTTATTGTCTCCCCTTAGCAATAGCTGCCTGACAGGATTCCTGAGTGCTAGCCATTTATAAAGGAGTTCAGAGGAGTTAATGTCTTTTCTTCTCAAATTGACTGATATATTGGAGAAATCAGAAGCCATCTGATTTTACATCATGTAAAAGTAAACTGTCTTTTCTCACTCTGGAGATTTTTTTTCTCTTAACACTTAGGAATCTTTAATCTAGACATGTTACTATCAGATGCATGGTTTATAGTTTCTGATTAATGTTACTCAGAATTCAAAGAAAGCTCCCTATTTCTAAACCTTATGTATTTTCTCAATCCCAGAAAGCTTTCTTCTCCTTCACTCTATTGATTGCTTTGGTCACAGACAAGTTGCCGTTCATCCAAGCAATACCCCTAAAGTTAACTCTACTATTTATTTTCCTGAACCACATGAAGTATTTCTACTACCTCTATGCTTTTTTTTTTTGGTACCGGGGATTGAACTTGGGTCCTTGCACTTGCAAGGCAGGCCACTGAACCGCTGAGCTAAATCCCCAGCCCCATTACCTCTATTCTTGTGACACATTATGTACTGCAGATAAAATTAAGAAGTAACGAAAAATTCCTGGGAATGATAAGAAAGATTGTAGATGGGTCTATTTCTGGTGAAAGAAATCACCAAGAAACAGGTGCAAAAATCAACAGGAAAAGACACTGCTCTTGTAACAAAACTTTTCCTACAACTTATAATATTATATGAAAATATACATAAAAAAATGTTAACTAAAACAGGATTTTGTGTCCTTTCTTAGAAATAAAATTGTTTATGTAAATATGTATGTACACTATATGAAAATCATGTATATTTATATATACATATTTACAGAAAGTTCTGAATTTTTCAAGCAACAGGGAGAGGTCTCTTAAGAATACATTTATTATTCAAATACTTTGTGCTCTGAGCAGTATAAAATATTGTAGTATCAAGGAAGGAGGAATATAATATGTAAAATGAAACAAAGCACCTCCTTTTTTTAAATGTAGTACTGGGGATTGAACCCAGGGCCTTTGCACTGAGCTACAGCCCCAGCCTTTAAAACATTTTTTTTTTAAATTTTGAGACAGGTTCTTATTAAGGGAGGAGTCTGCATGCTCTTAAATTCCACCTGCTCTCTTTGGGTTAACATCTCTGCCCAAAAGAGGTTAATATTAAAGATAAAAGGTAGCCAAATGCTACCCAAGATTGGCTGACTTCTACAACTTTTTGGAGCCACTATTCACCAATGTTCTGTTTTAAGATTTTGGCCTTTGCTGAATATGAAGTCTAAGCATCAGAAATGAAATCAAATGTCCTCCCCAAATCTCATTTGTTGAGGAGTGTGGCATGTAGAAGGTGATTTGATCATGAGGGTTCTGTACTCCCCAGTGGATTCATCATTTTGAGTTCATAGCTGAATGTGCTCTTAGGATATGGGACCTGGCTGGGGATAGGCATCACCGCGGGCACGACCTGGAAGAGCGTATTCTTGTCCTTGACTCCTCCCTTCGTTCTTTGCTTTATGGCCTATATGGGTTAAGTAGTTTTCTTCCACAGGGCTCTTGTACTATGCCAGTTCTGCCTTATAGTCAGCTGACCACAGACTGAACCCTCTGAAACCATGGGCCAAAATAAATCTCTCCTCCTTTAAGTTTCCAGGGTTGGGTATTTTGTTCCAGTGAGAAGAAAGTGACTAATATACTGTCCCCCACAGTGGTAACTATGTATGCGAGTTAGGTATAGATATACTAGTTAGGAGGACAGTGGTGATATTGTAAACATATAATAATTTTATGTCAGTGATAGCTCGATAAAGCTAGTAAAAATAAGTCCCCAAGTTAAAAACAAAAGAAAGTGTCTTTGTGAGTGCAGGAAAATGAACATCTCCTCTCCAATCAGCCTTAACAATGACTTCTGCTGTCGTAGTCCATATTGTCCTTAGGGAGTAGCCTTCAGTGGCACTCACATTTGAGAGCATCCCTCTTGTCCTAGTAATCTTTCTGCCTGCACTTTTCGCTCCCCAGGGACAGTGTTTCACCGTCACCTGCTCTCTGCTCTGCTGGTAATGGCTTACCCTTCATTGATGCCTTTCTCAAGATATACAGATATTCATTCTCTCTTGTCTTCAAAATAAAATGAAAAAACATAAAAAGAAAGAAAAACGATAACAACTCTTTCCATACAGGGCTTCGTTCAGATCCTTGCCCTCACCAGTAAGTACCTGGCAGAAGCTTTCTGAATATTTTCACCTCTCATGTGACCATCACTGCCTTCCAATCTAGCGAGTCTCTCCGATCTCACTGCTGCTACTCATGTTTGCTTCCCAAGGCAATTGATCAATCATTCATTTAATAAGTACCCACTAAGCCATGGACCAGGCTTGATCCTACTTAGGTGGGATGCAAGGTGAGAGAAACAGGTACCTGTGCCAGTCTAATATGTTGCAGTCTAATGAAGGGAAGAGAGAAATGCATATATGAACAACTAAATGCTATATTGGAAGTTGATGGGTACAGAAGGAAGAAAGATGTAAAAGGTACAGAAAAGTAGGAGAAAACAGGAAAGTTGCAATTTAAGTTGGAGGCAAAGGTTTGGCATGCTCAGTCCAGATCTTTTCCTTTAGTTAAATTCAAAATGGATAAATTGCAAATATATGAGCAAATATATTAGCTACAATCATGGGTGCTTGAATCGTGGGACTTTAAAAGAAAACCTTATGCAAATTCCATTGAGAAAACAACTCTGGACTGGAAGCGCAAGAACAAGAATCTGCAGCCTTGAAAAAGGAATAATTTGAGGGTTCAGGGATGGCCCCTAACATCCCCTTCACTCATGTAGCCTGGAGGTTCATGACACTGGATGCTCATTATATGAGGAGACAAAGCTTTTCTCCTTTTCTGCAAAAGGGAGCTCAGGTGCAGATGGGAAGCCCAATGGGCATCTTAAAGGTCTTGAGCACTTAGGGGAAACCAGCCAGATTAGACATAGAGAGCACCCTTGATTGGGGCTCAGGGTTATATACTGGGTCCCCACCTATGTAGAATAAAAATGATGATCCCAGCAGAGGAAGGCAGGAGAAATGCAATAGGCCTGAAACATTACAGTTGCATCCTGAATTGTTCCCAACAAGCCTGCTTTCCAAATATGCAAGCCTGGTTTGCCCAAGTATACAAAGGTTCAAGACAGACAGCAGTGACACAGAGACCCAGCCTGGCTTCTTCCCAATATTAGTATTGGTTACATCAGATAGAAGAAGCAAATCTACTGTTCAATGATTATTGGTGGTAAAGAAAAAGTCAATGGCACCTGTAAGAACACAGTAAAGCAGAAATTATTCAGAACTGTTGTGATAGGGGTAGGAGCTATAGCAATGAGGTTCTGTAGTCAGGGACATAGCCCAGGCTCAACTCCGATTACACCATGAATTTATAGCAAAGGATCACATTGTGGGGTCAGTGGAGGGAAAATTACTAAGAGGAAACCTGAGGTTAAAGGGGATTCTGGCTCTATAGGATTCATCCTAGAGATGGTGTAGAAGGATCAAATATCACATGGGGATAGAAGGTGGAGGGTTAGGAACCTGATCAGTTGTGGACAGTGGTCAGACATCGAGGATGTAGGGTTCTTGCTAAACCTACTTAGCAGGTTCTTGCTAAAACTAGATTCTACCAGAAAGTACAAAGACGGGCCTAGGAGAAATGTTCTGGTGCTCAACCAAAGTTTGGTCCACTAGAGAATCTTTGTCACTAAGTACCAAATGTGTCCTCTTGTCTTTAGAACCCAATGGAGAGGTTGGAATGTACCAGAGGTTTCCAATTTTTTTTAATCAGTGGAATTATTTTCGCAAATAAAATAGTAAATAGAATCCAGAACAGAAGATATATGCCACTGAAGCTGGACTCAGTTGATCTCAGCTGGAAGCCCAGTATTGGGCTCATTCTGCTCCCTCCTCTTTCTGCACCAGCCAGAAACATGTCTGAAAAATGAGGGATGCCCAGAGTATGAGGCTTTCCTCCTCAGACATCTTATAAATCTATCATGAACACAAACCACCAAAGCACCCAGGACAGAATTAGTAATTCAAGGAGACCACTTCATTTTAAGAAAATTGAAGGAGAGAACATAATTGGATGCAAGGAAAACAAAACTCTCTGGTGAATATCCAGAAGGGAACATCCAGAGTGAATCACCAAGGAATGAAACAAATTAGTCAATCTTTAGGCAAAACCCAGCTCCCGCCATCTAAGAAGTGACAATTTTGCTTAAACACCTCCCCAGGAGTGGGGTGGGCTAATGAATCTGTCATTCATCAGCTCCAAGGAACTTCAAATACACTTCAAAGATGACTAAGCAGCCTGGCTCACTAACACAAATAAATCAAAAGGATGAGACACCATTTCACAAACCTTTATTCCAAGCTCGATATTTTCTCCTCCATAGACATCCATCCCAGGGTCCAGAAGACCAATTTCACCGAAGAACTTCCTGTTGACCACAAAGGAGCAGCCAATCATGGCAGGTGTTCTGTGGGAGAGAGAGAGATGAGAGAGAGAGAGAGAGGGAGAGAGAGAGAGAGAGAGAGAGAGAGAGAGAGAGAGAGAGAGGAGAGAGAGAGAAATTTAAGCTCATTCGAGTGTCAGCAGCAGAGGCCCTTCTGGAGGGTGATTTTCTCCAGAAAAGTCACATCAGGCCCTGAAAGCCTTCTATTTCTACACTCTCATATCTTTTTTTGTTTTGTTTTGTTTTTTGTTTTTTGCTTTTTGAGACAGGGTCTCACTATATAGTTCAGACTGACCTGGAACTCATTGTGTAGCACAGGCTGATCTTGAACTCACAGTGATCCTCCTGCCTCAGCCTCCTGAGTGCTGGGATTACAGGTACTCCCAATCTTTTAGCAGCATAAAAATTAGAGAAGCTGAAATATGTAGGGCTAACCTGGCTCCTTCACTGACTGGATGAGGGCTGGGTCATGATGTCTACATTCATGGGAAGTGTGAGTTCTCACCGCACCAGGGTAACATCATGGAGTTCCATGGACAGTCTTGCAGTGGTTGCCACTGATGTGCATGTACGCTTTGGACCTGCTCCAAGACAGTGTTTTCTAATCTCTCAGGGGCATGCAAGGAAGTGAACATCACTGGGAGGAGTCAGCCACACATGAAGGAATCGCTTTTGATGCAGCTCCATGGGCAGAAAAAAGATGGTTTCCTGAGTCAGGTCCAAGTCTGTCTGCATCAGCAACATTCCCATTGCTTCTTAGAAAACACAGATTTAAGCCAGGTATGGTGGTACATACTTGTAATCCCAGCCCTCTGGGAAGCTGAGGCAGGAAGATTGCAAGTCTGAGCCCAACTTGAGCAATTTAGTGACTTAGTGAGAACTTGACTCAAAATAAAAAAGGTCTGGAGATGTGGCTCATGTCAAAGGCCCTAGGTTCAACCCTGCAGTACCACACCCACACCCACACTGCCTCTCTCTCTCTCTCCCTCTCTCTCCCTCTCTCTCTCTCTCTCTCTCTCTCGCTCTCGCTCTCCCTCTCTCTCGCTCTCTCTCCAGAGTCCCAGAGTCTGATTTACAGAGGTGGGACTCAGGGTTTGTGTTCAAACCAGAACCATCCCTCACAGCCTACTCTACGTTTGCCTACCAGGTCCCTCCCCACAAGCACAGAGGTCATCCCTGAAGTCTGTCTGTGTAGTTCATGGAGCCAGTGTCATGTAACACAGGACAGGGACCTGCGAAGCCCAGAGGAAGAAAGGAAGGAGTGAGAAGATCTGGGGGAGAGTGCCTGGTGGGAAGGCTCTCCGGGAAGCCTCAGGGAACAAGGAGACAGCAAGACTCTGCAGAGGGAGGAGAAAGCAGAGGAAAGGGAGGGAGGAAAGATGAGGGGCAGAGAGGAAGAGCAAATGCTAAAGAGGGAGCGGGAGGGAAGCAGAAGAGGTGGGAAGGAAGACAAGAGGGGAGGACTGGACCCAAATCTCATCACTTCGGGGCTTTTCTTCCTTCCAGATCCTTCTCAGGTTGCTCAGTGTGTAACATCTTCCCTGAGAAGCAGTCTGATATTTTCATGTACCTGGGATGATACTTCTTGGCTATGGTGTTAAGGAGACAATGTCGCAGAGTGACTTTCCCTCAGCCCCTCTCTATGGACGATTGCTCCACTTGGTGTCTTGGACCAGGCTCTATCTGAGCGTGCCCAGGATTTCTCACAGTACAATGGTGAGGTCACCTCAGGCCTCCTTATTGAAACAAGACCAGCACAGGTTAGCTGGCCAGGCTGCAAGGGCCCATGAGAGGCCACCAACCAGAAACTAGGGTAGGAGGCTGTGGGACAAACTGCTAATTTTTGCTGTTGGTGTCATGTGCCAAGATCTACTGAAGGACACTGTCAAAATCTACTCCAGGGTCAAGAATAACCAGACAGGAACTAAGGGAGGAGAGGCAGAAAGCAGGTCCAACATAAGTCCCTAGTAGGTGGCCTATCACTTTGATCAGAACTAGAAGGACATGGTCCCATCACACCAGAGTCTGGGCTTTCCCCACAGTGCGGGAGCTGCATGGATGAACTGTGTGGAGACTCCATGGTGTGATTAAAAAAAAAAAACCCAAAACTGTGTGGAGACGCCAATGCTGGGGATGTAGCTCAGTGGTGCTGCTGCCTGCCTCGCAAGCGCAAGGTCCTGAGTTCGACCCTGGTATCAAAAAGAAAACAACAACAAAAAAAGAGAGGCACACTGCCATGAATCTGCTTCAAAATCCTCTCTGTCACTTTGAACACACTCATCCCATTATTTGTGCCACCTTCTGTGGCAGTTCTGGAAGTCCTCTTTCATGAGTGTCCTTAATTGCACTGTCGTGGTCGTCTCCATGCTCAGAACTGATGAAAACCATTTACCTTTCACCATCATTTTGACTTTGGGGAAGAGCCACAAGTTGCATGGTGCCAGAAGGTGAATGAAGAGGCACATTACACTTTCTCAACCTGCCTTTTTCTCGGAGGGCATGCAGCTGCATGTATTCACTGTACTTTTTATTGCACTTTGTAAAAAATGCTCATGAAACGAGAGTGCAGAACTGCTTTAGAAAGTGGCAAGAAAGATGGGATGAATGTTTTCCAAGTAAGGGGAAGGATTTTGAGGGCATTCAGGGCAAGCTGTAACACATTTTTGAAATGCAAACATTCACAGCATAGTTTGATCATGCCCCTTAAGTGGTTAAAAGACATCCTCACCCAGGGCTTGGCCAGACAGTATGGCTGGTGCTCAGCGGGTGATGCCTGGAACTCTCCAGCCACCTGCCCACACTGACAAAGAGCAACCACCACTGTCCCCTGTCTGGGAGATCTCCGGCAGGAAGCCACCACCTGCTGTAATCCATGCTGGGATGCGCTGTAATCTGTGGCAGGTTAGTGAGCCTTGTCCTTTTAATCAGTAAACCCAGGGCCAAGCCTGGCCCCGTTTCCTCTCTACAGCAGCAACCTCACCACCTGCCCAACCGAGCGAGCCGTAGTCGATGGCACTTTGGGGCTGGCGCGATTTTGGATGTGTGCATATAGCCTCATCCTTCAAACTCAATCGTGACTACCACCATTAGTGCAAACATTTCAATTCAAAATCATGCAAAAGTGATAATCATATTAATGGATCTGCCGAAGCCTAATGGCTCTATTACACAGGAGAAGAAAAGAAATGAAAAATAATCACTTTTTTGTTCCTGTTACCCAACATATTTGCGACTCACACAAGAGTTCCAGCTGGGACGGGGCAGGAGTGGGCAGAGGATGAGGGAGTCAGTGGAGAGGGGGTGGCACCCCAGGAATCCCTAGAGATGTGCAGCAATCCCAGTTACAATGCTTCCGCTTTCATAGGTGACACGGAGAATCTCTGTCCAAGGTCCCTAGATGGCTCCCTAGTCTCCAAAGTTCACTGTCTTCTCCTCACTCCCCCTTCCCAGTTCCTTTCCAGCCACGGCCCAGCCACTTGGACCATTCAGCATTCCCGAAATATGTCCCACTGTCCGTCTTCCTTCTCCCGAATCATCCTCTGTGAGATCACCTCCATCCACCCAATCCTTCCTGCCCTTTGAAGTCAACATCTTCCTTTAAAAAAAAAAAAAAAGTTAATTTATATGACGAAAACAGAATCGCATGCTCTTATCCAATATACACCTCAGCAAAAGCAGAAAACCAAAGCTCAACTGTCCTCTCTAGCCAGAAGCACTCCAGTCTGCCTGGCCTGCCCTGCCCTGTCTGTTCAGCTCGCTCCCATTTATACATCTGCCCCTCCTACCCCACTGGGACTTCTCATGCACTGGCCCCGGCCCCTGACAGTGGCCTTGCCCAGCTCAAAGCCATGGTCTGGAGTTGTAATGGTGCCCTGGTGTCACCATCTCTTTGTTCTCAGTTGGAAAAACCCCAGTGATTGGCAAATGAGATGCTCTACCCACTCCTCACCCGCTGTGCACAGCTGGACGGAGCTGCAGAAACACAGCACGTGGGCTGATTTCACTCTGAGTGCAAGGTCTTGAGTCTCTAGTACTGCCCTTTGATTACTCTTCAAGCTCCAAGCTGCCCCCTTCTCTCCCTGCCCAAAACTCCAGCATCTCCTCTTCCCGCCTCGCTTTCAGCTGATGATCTTCCCTCCTATTCTCTAAGGAAGCAGCATACAAGCTGGGGGCTGTGCTGACACACACTCCTGTAACCCTAGCACTCAGGGAGGCTGAGCCAGGCAAGTTGCAGCCCCGCCTGGGCAACTTAGTGAGACCCTGCCTCTAAATAAAAAATAAAAAGGGCTGGGGATGTAACTCAATGCAAAGGCCCTGGATTCAATCCCCAGCACTTCAAAACAAAACAGCACCACCACCTCCCACCAAGCTCAGCACACTAAAGAGTATGTCCACACCACATGGTCCCATTTACTTGTTTCTGGGTCTCCTTGCTTGACTTCTGTGCTGCTACACATCCTGTGTGCTCTGAGCAGAGACAGATCCCTTCACTTGAGAAGGTTCACCGCCTCCTCTTGTTATCCACGATTCTCACCCAGTAAGACCCTTCCCCAAAACAATGCTCAGGTCCTCTCTGGACCTGATCATTCTAGGGGCTGACACACCCATTTATTTCCAGACACTGTCTTCCTGGAGCCAGCTTCCTCCAAACAGCTGTGCTTACCGCAGGTGCCTTTGATTCCCCTTTCAACCTCACCAAGCCCCACAACTACATTTGTCAAGGTCAGAGATGTAGCTGCTCCTCCCTTGGAATCTAATGCTCAGTTCAGAGGCCTTGCCAGCATTTGCAAGAGAAAGGTTCTGAGCATGGGTCCAGAACATCCATCCTTTCCTTGATGCAATTAGCAAGGAGGAGGCAATCCAGCAAGCCTTTGTTAGACTAAGCCCTGAGCACTCACAGATATAAAAACTCGGGATACCATCCTAGCAGACAAGTAGATACTCTTTTGTTGTTGTTGTTGTTGTTGTTTTAGTAAAAATAGTTTGTGGGTAAAGCTGTTGTGGCCCGAGTTATGCCTCACGGG